ATAAGAGTACATGCAGCTTCAAAAGTGTCATAATTCAAATGATAGATCTATCTGTCAGCAGACTGGGTGTGTACCCTTGTTTATCTTGTCTCATACACGTTACAAGCAAATTATGTCCCATCTCTTACACAATAATTTCACACTGGACATTTTCCCCCATGCAAACCCTTTTGGAACAACACTGTTGTAATTCATTTTTCTGTTATTTCAGTAGGGGATCCAGTGACATTGGTTACATTAACCATGAAAGTATTGTCTTTTTTCTACAAATAATTGAAGAAATTATCTCTTAGAAAGAGTTATTTTCCACCTTTAGGCTAGGTATCAACTGCAAACTATTATGGGTTATATCTGCCTCTCTGTCATGGATCTGAATTCAACATTTCAAAGTCACTTCTTTGTTTGGAAAAGCATCCAGAGAATCATTTAACTTCTAATTTTCATAAACTTGTGTCTCCTCAGAACACAGATTGAAAAAAACACTTTGATAGGTGCTTTCTTAAGACACATGCTACCATAAAATAAAGGGAAAAATATCTATCCTTTCAGTCAACTGTTAAAGACCACAAAACTTTTGTTTGTATAGCTCAAGAACTATAAGAACCATGCACAAATCCACAGTGGCATGAGTTAAGAATTTATTACCACTCAATCACATATAAATCCTGGAGAGCTTCTTGGAAGCTGTGTGATGTATTAACCTGCCCTCTCTACTAATCTTATTACATTTTGCTTGTGTTTTTTTTTCATTTCCCAGACATTTTTATTATCAACATGGTGTTAAGATGTACACACCAGCTTGAGTTTTTGTGCTTTAAAGAAACACGAATACGGTCGATATCAATTAGTTATGTATATCATTGTTGTAATTACTTCCTTCTGTTTTGTTTTTATAAAGGACTCACCTACTAGTTGTAACCTATAACAGCAAAGTTAAAACCACATATTATCTTCCCTGCAAATACCAGTGAAAGGGTTTCATATATGAAGACATATTTTATAGTAATGAAAAATTATCTTCACTTATTTCAAAATTTTCTCTATATCTGTCTTTTTTCTCAATACACTATCTAGTTAATAATAGTTGCCTGTATAAAAGCTTATTAAAGTTATCAGTATCCAATCTGTCCTCTTAATGAGAGAATAGCATTAATTATCTTTTGTTTATGTTATGTATGTTAAAGACACACATCTAAAATCTTATGCAAATTTATGAATGTGTTCTGCAATAACTACTAGTTTTCCTACTCTACTCAACCATTTCATAAGGAAAGTACATATTACATGTAGAATCGTGGATTCTACATATGAGGCGAGTACTCTTCCCCTAAGTGATTTTATTCTTCATTTCTTTTTCTTCAGTTTTACTTTAGCATTTTTCCTCAAATACAACAATCACCTTCAGTGTTTTAAATGACAATTTTGAAACACAGTGGAGTCCAAAGAAAATCAAATTGATTCTGTAATAGAGAACCAGTACTGAATTATTTACACAGGCAAATCGGTGGATTTCTGAATATAGAACTAGCAATTAAGACAGGTTACCATTCTTACCTAAAAACTAAAACAAATATATTTTCAATGACTTTTTCACTAGTTTTATAAATTGTTTTAGAGCACATGAAGTATGGAAGAATTACAGGTTAACATGTGAACTAAAAAGTGCTCTAAGAAACTTTTAAAAAATTGATAAAATACAGTGTCCATAGAATTTGTCTTCCTGCATTATTTTGTAATATCTGACCATTATTTACAAGGAGAGAAAAACAATTTCTATTAATTATTTATTAATGCTAAAGTATTGATGAGCATCGTGTAAGAGTAATGAGCTTTCTGCCGGTGAACTGGGTTGAACTGCACTTCAGTGCAGCCAGCAGAAGGGGAGTATATTTAGAGAGCAGAACAAATGACTTAACAGGGGCCTAAAAGCAGCAATCAGAAAAGGTTCATTTAACATAGAGATGGCACAAGCTTCAAGCAATTGCCTCTAGTTAAGTAAGTGTGGGATTACAAAAGGCTATTTATTACAGTCCAAAGGGGCCCTGCAGCTTGCTCAAAAGCCTTTGAAGAAATCCAACAGTTACAAAGTCTTGCTCACTTCAGAAGCAGTAAAATTTGGGCAGACCCCAAAGCTGCCTACAAATACTTTCGTTACAAAAAAAGTTAACACAATCCTCCTCCCACTTTTCCTGGGCCTGAATTTTATTTTCTCTCTCTGCTATTTACAAGGAGCAATATTAGAACTGGTTATTTTCCAAAACTACTTTGTCATGCATTTCAACCATAATGAAATGTAATATAGTTTCATGGTGATATGGAATTAAATGTAAGGCTTCTTGGACTTAGATAGAAAGAGTTTCAACATTAAATTCTTTGAAATGCTCTGTAGGCAGGTATGAAAAGTTACTGTGTCAAAAGATTTGCTTTAGCAGAGAAACTTCTCCATTGTTTGCTTAAGAAGGTAACAAGGACATTGAAGGCTATGTATTTTTATTAGCACTTGGATTACAAATTTATTTTTGTATTAGGGTAAGTAGAGAAAAAAATAATTCTCAAGTTTTCAACATAGCTGCTACTAATTTCTGCTTTAGATATTGAACATGTCTATGTCAATTATAATATAAATAACATAATTTTTCTTGAAATTAACTTCAGGGTAGTAAAGGTAAGGGAGGGGGCAAATTTGGCAATTAAAAAAGAATACTGAATAGATGAAGAGTAGGCCTGAAAGGGAAATAATTTTAATTGACATAAAAAGATAACTATTTGTTAAGGAGAACAAAATTAAAAATAAAATCAACTTATGCTTTCATTCAAAAAGCAAAACCTACATTTTTCCTTAGCATAAAAATTTATATTTTGTTCCCAAGCTACTTGGGTTAGTGATGCTTTCATTGTAGCCTAAGTTAATATTGGGACCTTACAAACAAAAGAAAGAGGAGAATGGAGATACATGGCAATGTATGTTAACAGAAATGTTTCAAGTGATGACTAATAAAAGAAAGCTTTACTTTAAAAAAGTAATAAATGTTAGAGATCCTTGTATGTATGGACAGTTTGAATGAAATCATATAAAAGTTGTCACGTGGTGACTGCAGACACATCTAATTAAGAACCAATATGTAACCTAGTGATGTTCACTCTTGTGGAAAGGAAAACACACACATTTCAAATACTGCTTTACTTTGTAAGAATTACTAAGTCTTTATAGCTTCTTTTATCATTTGTCACTATAATTTCAATGGCTTGAAGCAACTACAGACTATGAAAAAAGAGCAACATTTTCACATTTGGTGAATATGGAATTGAAGTCTAATGACAGCTAAGCCAACCAGGCTATCAGGACAGGAAAGCCCTGAATTTGTCTTTCTTGGATGATGCTAAAATGTTGTATTGAGAAGTTAGAAGCAAATAAAATTAGTCCAGCATTTATTTAAATTGTATTCAAATTATACATAGAGTTAATCAATGAATGGGTGAGGGAAAGTTACCTTTTTGGAGTTAAGTGAACTAATAAATTAAAGAAGGAAAATAAAAAGTACCATTTCTATAAGCCTGAATAAGGCTTCTGGAAGAGTCTGATAAAAAGCTAAACATTGTTAAAAATAATTAAAGATTGCCTCTTTCATAATTAAAGGACTCCAGCAGCTAATGTATCTAAAACTTGCTGAGCTTTTGCTTGGCGTTTATAATGCAGAATAGTATATTCTGTGAGCACAGAGTGCTGTTGCTCCCAGCAAGGCATTTCAGTTATCTAGTGAATCAAGACTTCGTAA